TATTCTCTACAAAATTGTATACATCTAAAGATGAATCATTAATTCGGTCAAAATGCTAGTGTTATTTAAACTTTACCTACTGTTAAAGGTGCATTGACTATTTAAACAAGCTTAATTTGGCATTAAGCTTATTTTTCATGCCTATTGTAAATTCATCCATTACTGCAACAGAGATGATCAAAAGATTTCAAAACTGCTTTGAACTCAGTAGAATTAATGATTTTTATTGCATTTTATTAATATTAATAGTAAAAAATAATTTTTACACATTTTTACTCATTCCACATTCAGATTTGTAGATACAATTTGCAGGTATTGTAGATCAGGGCCCGCTCTAGGGCAGACAACCCAGACATTCGTCCGGGGTGGCAAATCTAAAGGAATTTTGGTTGTGAATGTGGCAAAATATTTATAAGTTAAATACTTACTTAATCGAAATTTACATTTGTCGATTTTTTTTCTGTGGCTAAAATTACCATGCAATTTACATTTCGTATTTATTATTTTTGCCTAAAAGTTAAGTGTCTAAGACTTCATGAAGCTAGTGCAAGAATGAAAATGGTTTCATACACTACCACTATAGCAAATTTGCATTCCTTAATTCTGAAGAAAACAACCATAAAAGAGGGCTTTTGGGCAAAAAGGAAAGCATAAGCAACAATGTTAAATTTTGTCCCAAACCTTAGTGTCACCTTAAGAATACTGCCTATCATACCAATAACTGTAGCTAGTGGGGAAAAGGAGTTTCTCTAAATAAAAATTAATTAAAAACTTTTTATGTTCTGCTACCATGCAAAGTCATCTTAATAGTTTGGCCATTTTGGCGATTGTGCATGAAACTGCCGATCAAGTAAACTTAANTACTGCCTATCATACCAATAACTGTAGCTAGTGGGGAAAAGGAGTTTCTCTAAATAAAAATTAATTAAAAACTTTTTATGTTCTGCTACCATGCAAAGTCATCTTAATAGTTTGGCCATTTTGGCGATTGTGCATGAAACTGCCGATCAAGTAAACTTAAAAGAGTTAATAAAACAAGTTTGCAGAACTAAAAGTGAGAAAAAAGTTTCTTTTGATTTTAATATAGTTGATGTACTTTTGTTTAGTTTTTATAGGATATAAGTTTTTTGTTTGACTGTACAGTACAATAATACATTTTTGTAATATCATTAAAAATGCATATAGTTAACAATTTGTAACTAGGTACAGGTATATTTTAATTTTTACTGTTTTGTACTACTTGACTGTTAATTTTTTATTACATATTTCTCTCTATATAAATTTAAGGGGCAGAAATTTGTCTTTTTGTCCGGGGCGACATAAATGCCTGAGCAGGCACCATGTAGATACAAATCAGAACATTATGAAATCGGTGTAAACACAGAATTTTTTATGTTGGCCAACTGTGAGAGGAATTGTTTGATATTAATAATGCCCAAACAATTACAGATTTTTACTTGTCACTTTTCCACGCAGTTAGCAGTTAGATTGAAGCTATTGAAGTGGATAGGTATCGCTATAACAAATTTGCATTCCTTAATGAAAGCATTTATTCAGATTTTTCTCTAGTTACAAATGTTTCATGACCTGTAATTAATGGAAAATACAAAAAGCACCATAAAAATATTTTGCAATTAATAGATTTACTGTTGACTCTTTCTGTGCATTTTGTTGAATATGAAAGTGGATTCCCTACTTGAAAAGGGTGAAGAATGACTAAAGGAACAGACTCCGATGAAGTATTAACAGCATTATTATGTATTGAACTTCATTCATCTGGAACAGCATACACATTTTTTTTATTTTGATACACTTTTTTGCCTGATTTTTATTACAATTTTTCAAGAGTTTCCCTGCAAAGATATAGAGGACATGACAATCCAGTGAGAGACAAACATAGGCAAGATGAATCAAGTGCAGAATGCATAAATGTCAACAAAAGTGTTAAGGCAAGTTTTCTGTCAAAGTTTAGTTTATTATTATTTATTGTACTTTTTCCATTTTCAATATCAATAATAAACAAGTATACATTATTAAATCAGAAGGTGTTCATTTTCTACCCAATTATTTTCCCACATAATTCTTATGCAAATCTGAATTTCTACAGATATAATATAATATAGGTAAATTTCTTCAGATATCTTTTTGCTTATTTTTTATACATAAAAAAAAAGAGATGACAAATTCTATAAAAAAATACTTCATTCCTATTACTATAAGAAATGAATACAATTTCATAATTTTGTTACAGAAGAATGTAGAAATTGTAGTAAATAGATTAATTATCAGTATTTTTCTTTTTCTATATGTGTTTTCTTTAAAATCTCTCCAATTTTTGAATTTCAATTAGAGTTATCCTTTCATTTTAATAAAAAATACCAGATATATATGAGCATCAATCAAAAAGTACCTGAAGCAAACTACCAGTCATCCAAATTGGATGGCCTGCTATTTTGTTTCCAGACATTCCAAACTAAACATCAAACAAATCTAGTTTATCTAGTTTAGAAAATTAAAAAAAAAAAAAAAAGAAAAACTCATTTTAAAAATATTATTGTTAAGGAAGTTCCTTAAACATAAATCCAATTTAAACTGCTTTCTTGAAGGAAAAATACTAATGTGTTTGGTCTATATGCTCATTTTTCTAATTGAATGTCAATAGGTTAAAAGACGTTAGAATTTTCTAAACAGTTATTTCAAGGAAAGCCATTTTAATTTGATTTAAAAAGATTCTTATGCAAAGTATAATAGAAAGAAATTATTCATATTAAAAAATGCATCTTTATGAAATGTAAAGTTAATCATTCAAAAAAAATCTCACTTTATTTTTGCAACAGAAATTGTAAAAAATATTATCTAAAATATAAATAATTATTTTATCTTTTAATCACTTATTAATTTAAGAAATTTTATTGTAATAATATAAATATATTTTCAATTATTTATTTTTTATTGTTGAAAACAAATTTTGTATAAAGGTAAATTCATTATTTTGAATGGATGAACAAACACAAATGCTATTTTTCCTTTCTTTTTTAATTGAATTATTGTTATTTTATTATGATTTTCCTGCAATTTTTATTTTATTTTATTTTGATAAAAAGTAAATATAATTGTTCTAAATATTTTTTATTAAATAACTTTTATAAATAAAACTTTAAAACTTTACAAAAAAATTATTTGGCAGTTAGTATAAATAAAAACTATTTTTAGGTATACTTTTAGATGTTTCAAATTACTTTTAATGTAGGAAAAAAAAACAAATATTAAATAAACACCAAAGAGCTCTGTAGAAACGTCCTTAATATTTGTTTTCTTTCTATTAAATATATAACAATTGTACCCCACAACTAATGAAACATTACACAACTTTTTAGCTTCAAAAACTTTGAAATTTTAATATGTTAAAATTTCAAGTACTATATTTAATGTTTTTTATTAATTATTTTTAAATTAGATTTATTAATATATTAATCATTAATTTTGCTTCATCAACAATCCTTTTAAATTCTAACTTGACTGTTAAAATAAAAGTAATGTATTATAAATTTAAAATAAAACCACAGTAAAATTTAACGTTATAATATAACATCTTTTTCTTGCCTATTATATATATTAAAATTTTTTAGCACATAATTTACTTATTAATTAATTAATCATAATATATATATAGAACAGCTTAGGATCATTTCACAAGTTTAAATCTGGTCCTATATATTAAGTAAATATATAAAATATATACTATGTGTATAGTGTAGTGGTTTTCAACCAGAGTGCAGTAATACACCAGGGTACCTAAATATGGGTTTCAGGGGTACTGTGAAATATAGTGCCAAGCACTGTTATAATACTTGGTTATCAATGTAGCAATGCAATAGTTACTTTAATTAATAAAGAAATAGGGGTACCGCAAGAAAAAATTACCAGGTTTGGGATGCACTATTAGAAAAAGTTTGAAAAACACTGATATAATGTATATAAGGCTAATAAGTGTATGTTCATATACTTGCTACATTAAAAAAATGGTAGGCTAGGTTATACAATAATTTGATTTATTTTTCATTTTACTCATTTATAAAATAACGTTAATTAATTAATTGAGCCGTTGATTTTGAAAGTGGGGCAAGTCCGTTTTGTGAAAAATATGGTTAAAGCTAATTTTTACTACAAATTAACATAAATTTTGTTTTTAATCAATTCACAACAAATATCTTTTAATATCAGTATAAATTTGTTACTAGTAATTTATATCGTCAATGATATTTACAGTGAGTAGATTTTGAAAGTGAAGCAAGTCCTCTCTAAAGAAAAATATGAAGATATGATGGATTTATTATCCTTTGTACCACCCATTTGTCATGAATACTTTAAAAATCTGCACCATCTAAACTAAAAAATATAATTATATGCATGCAACTTATTACTAAATAGTTTTTATTATTTTCTCCACTTTTTCCTATAAAATTAAATTTATTTTTTGTTTCATTGTAGCTTCTCAAAAAGGTATGAAATGTTGAAATAAAATAAATAAGTAAATAAATAAAAGATTCAATTTTTTGTTGTTATAACTATATTCCATTCAAAGAAAAGCAAGGTTTTCAACAAATCATTGCTTTTGAAAGTGAGGCAAATCCATTGGCGTATACCAAAACCATGATTTTTTTCACCTAACATGGATAACCATTATTGCATATTAAATTTACATGGAATAAAACCAAAAAAATATAAAACAAGTCTATTACTGCTAACAAATATTTTTACTCATTGAAATGCAAACCATTAAATATCCAGCAAAAACATAAAATGGACTTGCCCCACTTTCAAAATCAACGGCTCAATTATAAATAAAAGATTAAATTAATTTTATTTTTTAAAGTGTATTTAATTATGTTTTTAAATTAAATGTGTTTAGGTCACTAATTTATACAAAATACTTAAAAGTTCTACCATAAATTACTCCATTATACTATCAATTATTAATAATGAACACACAAAATTACCTTTTTAACAATGTAAATTCGGTTTATAGCTTCCAGTTATAGTTTATAACTAAAGAACTAAAACGAAATTATCATGTTACAGTGCGTGCGTCAATCACGTGTTTTTACTAGTTTGATTATAATTCGATTCGTCAGATATCGCCTGCAACCTTTCAATTGATTTTTCAATTGTAAACAATTAGTCCCATAAGGAGTAAGATGCTCACTAAATATCATATTCCTCTGCCTTTTTTTAAAATAAATTCTAACACAGCCACAAACATAGATTAAATTATCTATAAATGCTTTAAATTAGTTTTTATTCGTTATTTCAATTTTTTTCGTTCTTTTATTTGTGATTTCAAGGTTAAAAAGTATGCTTGCATCCTTGAATATACAGCATAGACAATACAAATAACACGGTATTGTTTGCAAAAAAGGACTTGATGTAAATATTAATCGACTGGTAGATCGCTATCTACTTTCTATCATTAAATAAAATTACTATTCAAAAAATATCTCACCATTTATAAACGTAGAAATTTAATTAATTTTTATTTGTACACGTGAATTCATTAGTTTTATTATTTCTTGTTAGCGATTTTAAAATAGTACAGTCGAACCAGAGTAAATTATAGAGTATTTGCCCTCGTCGTGCTGACAAGCATTAGGAGGAGCCTAGCTTAAACGAAACGATTAGAATCAACACTCCAAAGTACACTTATAAAACGAGTCTTTTTCGTCTTCTTCGTGCAATATTTTTATTTAATTATATTAAAGGTTAAAAATGTTAAAAATTAATATTGCTGATGTTTTTGAACAGTTAATGTTTTATTTAGATTTATATAAAAGTTACTAAACTTTTTTCCTTAATCAAGGAAGTTAAACTATTACACGTATAGTATGCATATCATACATTTTATAGACTTTTTTTCTAATAAAAAATTTTACAATTAAATGTTCTAAATATTTTTAGATGGGGCTGAAAGCGTACTTAATATAATTAGTCAATTGAAAGAAACGATTCAATTTAGCATATAAAATACTTTTATTTGTTATTATTGAAAATTTTCGAAAAATTTGTATTTTATTTAAATTCCATCGTCATAAATATAAACACACATTTTATTTATACAAGTATTTCATCATAAACAATTTATAAAAATTCATTTAAAGTAACGCCCCGCGGGGGGATTTTCAAAAATTCCTTCTTAGTGCATTCTCATGGTGTACTCTGTGTACCAAATTTCAACTCCTAACCGTTTGGGCTCTGCAATTATCGTCAACCCATCTCAATTAGAAGAAAATTTTAACAAAACCTGATAATAGATGGCGCCACAATTTCATTTTTGCCTTTTTTTAATAACTCCTAACAGCAAATAAGTTACGCAACTTCCTTTGTTAGATATTTTTGGATTCACGTGGTCTCAAAACATGGAGATTTACAAAAAACTTGGAGGGTCAAATCTGACACGATTCCAATACAGTCGACCCCCCTATAACGTACGTTCCTATAACGACAATTCCTATAACGTAGCGAAAAAATTGTAGAAACTTTCGTATAAAATACCTCCTATAACGTCGTTTCGCGAGAAGATTGATAGAGTCTGGACCAATAGTGGATGAGCAGCCGAACTACTTTCCTCCGACCCTGCGCCACGCTACGGAGCGGCTAAATTGAGTTTGCTATCGTCTGTTTAGTATTATATATAAATTATATATAAATTAGGTACTGTACATATAATTATATATTAATTATATATAAATTAGGTACTGTATATATAATTATATATTAACTTAATTTATTGTAACTTTATTATAATTATATATATGCTTTCTGCCGCCTGGCAACACGCTACGGAGATTTTAGGCTAGTAAGTTGAGTTTATTATCGTCTGCACAGTATGTAAATTAGGTACCGTAAGTCTAATACAGCACTAATTTTATACATTTCTTGTGAAAGAAACACTTCTTATTCAACGGCCATAAAAATTATTTATATTAATGATGTCTCCAAAGGTCAAGTTATCTTTCTGCGATAAATTATTTATCAGATATCGCGGCCGCCGTTTCGTGTGCTGTTCCGCGACGAAGACAAGCTTTGAACAACGGGCGTAGTCGAACGGTACACACTCGGTAAGTAATCCTATAATTTTTTGTTTATAGCATAGTTTATACGGATTACTCCCAAAAAATTATACGTGTTTTGGAAATGTTGAGTCGAATTAGTCTAGAATCGGTTAATTTTATAGAAGAAAACCTTTCGAACAGCCTTAGTCCGTAAAGTTCCCACCTATCGGGCTGCGATTGGCTCATGTATTTAATCGTTCCTACAACGTAATTTTCGGTTAGCGTGGAACGTATCTAAGCGTTATAGGGGGGGTCTACTGTACTTTCCTTTATGTACTGTACAGTACTCAACAGCCGGGACAGTAAAAAGCAGGTTGGGTTCTTTTCTCTAAAACTAAAAAGCATAAGTTTTATTATAAAATATAAGCATATACATAGCGTTTACAAGCATTCATAAAACTGTATACAATTCATCTCTAAGTTGCTTGCACTTGGTATAAATGTTTCCAATGTGTTGATTTTTTTCACTCATTTGTTTACTAACGAAAATACCAATTCATTGTAGGCATTAGATCCAGGAGGCATAAGCAATAATCAACAATTTTTAAAATGGTTTTAAAAGATACATGTTTATCTGTGAAATATTTTAAAGATTTCGACCCATCTACGTTGTCAGGACTTACCGTTTTCTCGACATTCTTAGAACTTTTCACTGATGACATAACTTTTAACCCGCCCACAGAGGGGTTTCTCATAGTAGGTCCCATTCAAATACAGTAGAGCGTCGATTTTCCGAATCAATTGGGGACTGGGGTTGTCCGGATAACTGATATTTCGGATAACTGATTTACGTACGAAAAAATAGTTTAACGTATCCGATGTCGAAATTTTTCTCCGTTGCGTGTCGCTTTACGTTGAATTTTCGTCGATGTTAAACCTAACAAAGACTATTGTATCGTTAAAAATTATTTTTTTATTTTGTACAAACAAAATAAATATATTGAAAAATATAAAAACAATAAAAAATTATACTTCAGATGTTAATTTAGTATCAAAAACGTAAAAT